TCTAAAAAACAAACTTGTACATTAATGGTAGAATTAGCCACAGTTTATATATGTCAAATATTAACAGGTTTCCCCCCTATAAAAATATCAAATAAAATGGATTTATTTTGTCTGACCATTTCCCCACATTCATGTTCTTTGAGAAAAAAGCTATACCATTTGGTTTTTGTGGGTGATTTTTTTGTTTTTTGTTTTTTGTTTTTTTTTGTTTTTTGTTTGTTTTGCATTTTAAGACAGGTTCTTCCTGCTGGCCTTGAGCTCACTTTATAACCCAAGGTTGGTGTGGAATTTGCCATAATCCTGCCTCAGCCTCCCAAGGGCTAGGATAATTAGTGTGCGCCACCATGTCCGGTTTCTAAAGCAGAACTATGATTATTTTAAGCTCTACAAGGGAGCTCTGCAGAGGCCCATTTCACCCCTCTAGAAAGACGCAGTACTGCTAAATGGCAGGAACATGGCTCAAGTCAGAGCCACTTAGGTAAGAAACTGGTTTTCTGACCTCAGGCAAGCAATTAAGTTTTTCTCCAATCTGCAATCCTAGGAAAGAAACACCTCTGATGTTCTTACGGCATATTTATATCTGATTTTTGCCACAGCTCTCTAGATCTTTTAACAGCTTAAGGAACAAACAATTACTACAACAGAATATCCATAGGAGGTAATTTATAGCAAGCTGCAAGCTTGAGAGAATCAACACGTTCTGATTACCTAAGATTTCTCATTGTGGCCTCAAAAACAATTTTCAGGAAGTATAAGGAAGGCCAATGACAATCCTCCACATCTGACAAATTCAATACATCCCCTTGATCCTCCATCAGTGCTTACTTTCCCATTATGAATTCCATAAATTCATATTCATCACCTGAACCTGAAGATTCCAAATATATCCTATGTCCCAGAAGACAACAAGTGCTGGCAAAGCTGTGGGACTGTAAACTGGTGGCTGTAAGCACTTTGAAGAACAGTCTGACAGGCCCTAAAAATGGGCACCCCTGCAAAGTTCTACTCCTAGGTACACACCAACCAAAAACCACATCTATGCAAACTTACACTATTCCTTACAGCCAAAAACCAGGAACTACTGAAATGCCTACCATCTGATGAACAGTGCTTAACTGTTTAACCTTGTTTATACAGTTTTAACAAACAAGGTATGTCCACACAATGGTGAACTGCTCAACAATAAAAACTTGGAACACGTTAAAGGAAAGATGCCAGTCACAAAAGACCACACAAATCCTTTACATGAAATGCCCAAGACAGACAAATCCACAGACAGAAAATAAATTAGTGGTCGCTAGGGACTGGACTGATGCAATGAGAATGGGCTAAAATTAGATCACAGCGAGAGTTGCACAACTCTGCGGATATACAGGAACCACTGGACTGATGTTTGTCTGGCTTTTGTTTTGGTGCTGGAGGTTGAACCCACAGGCCTTGACACTCAACTACAATCCCCAGCCCTTTTTTTTTTTTTTTTTTTTTTTTTAACTTTTGAGTTATGATCTCCCAAACCTGCAAAGCTGCCTTGGCTAGGCTTGAACTTCTGATCTTTCTGCCTCAACCTCCCAGAGTTTAGCACAGCTCATACCTCAGTATGAACTGAGTCTGACATAGGTTGAATTTCCTTTACCCTAAATGCTTAGGACCAGAAATATTCTGGACTTGGCCTTTTAATGCTTTGAAACATCAATATAACCACACAGATAACTTGGAACTAGGACCCCAGTAAATACGGAATTCATTTATGCTTATTTTATTCACATAGCCTGAGGGTGATTTCAGAGTATTTTTCATGTGCTTGTGTTCTGTGACTCATCGCATGAGGTCAGGTGCAGAACATTCCACTTTGTGGCACCATAGCAGCTGCAAAAATTTTCAGATTTGGGAACATTTTAGATTTCAGATTTTGGGAACAAGCATGTTCAACTTCTATCCGTTAATGCAGAAACAAAGATCAAAAAAAGTAAAGTCACCAGTAGGGCAAGCTGCAGGGACAGAGAGCAGCCAAAACCTGAGCCTGTAAGGAGAGCCTCAGACTGCCTGAGGGCCAACATCACTCAGTCACCACCACTGCCGCACATGCTGAGCAAGGCAGGAGCAAGTGCACTGCAGGAAGCGCATCCCTTAGATGTCCCCTGCGCTCCTGGAGCTGCAACCCCATGGAGCGAAACACGCAAGCAATCTAGTGTGAGCTCATGATGTCCAGCAAACACCCAAAGGGTTTCAAGGGGTAGGTGCACAGCTCTCCCACAATCCAACAGAGGTCCTGAGCCAGAATGGGGGGGGGGGACAGGAGTTCCAGAAGAATTCAAGTAAGAGATGAACAAGGAAAGATGAGGCAGGGTCAATCAGAGAAAGGGGAGGTAAGGCTGAGCAAACTGAAGATGCAAAGGACCAAGGTGGGAGGAAAACCAGCACATGTAAGCAAGGCTAGTGTGGTGTAAGACAGGGCAAGAGATGGTGGGGTGCAGCACGCCTGGAGAGGCAGCCAGGGGTCGGTGGTAAAGCGTGCGCTCCTGCTGGGCAGCACTGGTCCTGAATTCAATGCGGTGGGGAAGGGGAGGGGAGGAAAAGAGTGCGAGCAGGTGTGTACACGCAAGCGGGCCACAAAAGGCCTCACAGTCATAAGGACTGGTCTCTAATTACAAGACTTCTAAAAATGTCTTGAGAGGTTGGAAAGTTTTATTGGGAAAAAAAAGAGCAGCTCCTCCTGAAGGGGTGGCCCACCTTGGAGAGGTTCAAGCAGTGACCGTGCGGTCCAACACCTGCTTGTGGAGAGAGGCAGGAACACCGAGCAGTATAGTGAGAAAAAGATCTGGGGAATGACAGTGGGCGCCAGGTCAGCTTCCTCCCCCACTTCCATGCACAAGCCCTTGATGAGCCCACCAGCCAAGGGAGTCGATTTCCATCTGCCAATTTCCATCACCAGCGAACTTTTCCACATTCAACTGCCCTTACTTCTGCCCCAACTGCACTCTATGGGGATAAAAACGTTTATTTGCTCAAATCCCTGCAATAAGCATATGCAAATTAATCATACTACTCTAGCCCTCACCAAGCTTTTTCCAAAAAAACAAATGAGAGCACATCAGTCCCCTGTTTAAGAAAGATTTGTTCTAATAGTGTTTGTGGACAGGATATCATGTCTGCATCTTGTACTATGAATAACCACTAAGAAGACAACAATATACAATGTATTAATTGTTGACATTGTCCTACTAATTGGTTTTGAAACTCTCATTGCTATTTGTTTCTCAACAAAATTATTTTTTAAAAAAACCTAAACTCTCAAATGTACATTAAAAGAAATGTTCCTTGTGTGCCTGTTATCCCTACTAGTTGGAGGCTAAGGCAGGAGGAGGACTTCTTAAGCCTAGGAGTTCAAGGCCAGCTTGGGCAAATGACATTTCAAAGAAAACAAACAAAATAGAAATAAAGAAATCTTCCTCCAAATCCTAGGAAGAACCAAGCATGGTGGTATATACCTATAACCTCAGCACTTGGGAGGCTAAAACAAAAAGATGACCATGAAGCCAAGGATAGCCTGGGCTGCACAGTGAGATCAAAACCAGTCTGAATCTAATGGTGTAAGATTGTGTCTCAAAACAAAACAAGCCAGGCATGGTGGCACATACCTATAATCCTAGCACTTGGGAGGCTGAAGCAGGAGGACTGCTGCAAGTTTAAGCCAACCCGGGCTATGAAGTGAGCTCAATGCCAGTCTGAACTACATATTGAGACCAATATGTAGTCTCAATAATAATAATAATAATAATAATAATAATAATAATAACGCAAAACTAGGAGGAAGAACTATTCAATCACTCAATCTTAGTAAAATTCATGGACCATATTTAACAAAGCTCCCAGACACTACATTACAGGTCAATAATTTTGTCAGTCTCTCCCACTGGAACATAAGCTACTAAAACCTGCACACAACAGATGCTCAACAAAACTGCAAATGAACAAGAGCCCTGGTATTATGACCACAGATTCTAAGCAATGTTCAGAAAGAAACACACAGATTTATAACACATTGATTCAAGTTTTTTTTTTCATTTTTAGTTCCTAAGAAGTTATCCACAGTTACAAGGAAATATAGATAAATAAAGGAAAAAGTGTCCCACCGGAAAAGTTATGAATAAAATGTGTTTTTAAAGAATGTGAACTTATCTGTAGACTTGTAGCACATCAAAATGTTTCTGCCCACTAAGCTATACCCAGGGAGAATTAGACAGGCACAAAAAAGGAAAAGACAGGGCCACGTTCTTAAAAGGCCTGGGTTACCAGCATCCTCAGAGGTTCTCTCTTCCTGAAAAGCAACCCAGCAAGATTTAACAAGCTCTAAAATGCTCATAGTCTATAACTACAGAACTGCTCCTTTCTAAAGAAACTTATAAAGCAGGTACATGACTTAATGGTAATAAAAATGAAAACTACAAACATTACAAATGACTACCAATAGGAGGAAGTGAACTACAGAATATCATCACTGGGTACACAGCCCTGTAGAAGCACTTTGCAGGCCTCCGGCATAACTCAGTGGTAGGTAGAACACTTGCCTACCATGAGCAAGGCCCTAGCCTTGACCCCCAGAACTCCAAAAGCAAAAAACACACACATAAAAAAGTGTGTGGTTTCCATCGACACTTTATTCTTTTTTTTAGACTTAATCTTTTATTTGGTAATGGATCTCACTATGCAGCCCAAGACTTAAAGTAATCCTCCTGTCTCAGCCTCCCTAGTGTTGGGATTACAGGCACACGCCACCATGCCTGGTTTTGGTGGCCAGCTCGGCATGGGGCTGGCTCAGCAAGAAGTACTGGGGATCAAAGCTGGGTCCCTGTGCTTGCTAGGCAGGTACTTAGATGGCCGCGCTATCTCCCCAGCCCTGACACTTCACAAACATATTTCTAGATTTGTACATACCCAGCCAAAGACATATAAATGAAGAGGGCAACAAAGTTTATTCAAAGCAAAGCTATTAAAATGACCTGTGTTTGTGAAAGCTGAATGCTCTGGACTTGTGGAAGCAGAAAATGAGCATCTGGCAGCTGCTCTGTGGAGCCTTCTGTAGAGATCCTGCGAGTGCCAACTCCAGACACCTGGAGGAACAGAGAAAGGGTGCCCTCTGTCATGCTGCTAAGTGCACAGTCACCACACTGTGACCACCTTGCCAAGGGAAATCAGCACGATCACTACAACACCATCAGCCCAACTACCATTGATCTGAGTACAAAAAGCAAGATGAACGCAGTTGTCCTCTCTTTTACCAAATCCTTTTCACAAATGGACACCACTTCTGATGTGGGCCCTCATGTTTTATGGAACCTGGTAAGAATTAACCATAAAGGCAACTGATCTTGGCTCTGAAATCACTGGATGACAGATGCATTTAAAGATGATAAGGACACCATACTTAAGGGTCCCAACTAGATTTGCAAATACTAACAAGATTCATCGACATCTCTTTCTGGCAAATAATAGTATGCACAGTGAGCCTCTAGGAATGAACTCCTGAACACAACCAAATTCTGCAGCAAAAGAAAAGTTACTTACATGATAGGAAAGGACTCCATATGAAGAAGTGTTAATAAATAAAGAACTTTCAATGCTTCCTTCTTCAGTAGGTAAGAAAATAATTCTAAAGGACGTTTTCCCCATAGCTGGAATTACCTGAAAGAAAGGCACCTAATTAGCCATTTGGAATGGCTTCCTAGGGTAACTAACTGTCTTCTGCAGACCTTCTTTCTGACAATTTCTGTTACCAGATAGCTGCATAATCTGCAGTCTTGATGTGTAAGTATCACAAATCCCTGAGTATCATCAAAATGACCAACATCCAACAATCTAAAGGACAGACCACTGACATACAGCAAAAGAGTTGCTGAATCATCCACTTCAGTTTGGAATCAAGGATCTCACCCCCTGCCTTTCCCTCTTCTTCCACACCCACATGTTCCATGTCTGTATCTAACACAGTGGTATCTCCCCTTAAATACAAAGAACCACCACGGTATGAACATATTGAAGTGTCATGAAAATCAGGGACAATGTTTACCTGTTCAGACCATCATAAAACAAGTACTGGGCTCCCAACCTTCAACCTTTCCTTTGTCCTAGTATTTTATATAAGTTCATAATAATATCAGGCACAATAAGTAATGTTAGTACAGTAAAGCTTGCCAGCAATTAAGCCCTTCATAACACAGTGGTATAAACTGATCTGATCACTTTTTACAAATAAAACCAGTAAAAAGGTGCCTGATGAGACAGTCACGCATGTTGCACAGTGGTTCACTCATGAACCTGTTTATATCCAGAGACTGCTGAAAAGGCTATTAAGAGACTAGAGTTTGGGGCTCCATCATGGTGCAAGTTAGCTTTGGAAGGAACTATTCACCACTGCTTGCCTTACGCTTAGAAAGAAGTTCTAACTTTCTTAGTAATAAACCTGAGAGGTGAGAGAGTTCCTGGTTGCAAAGTTGTGTTAGTTACTAGATTTCTCAGAGTTGTAGTAACTTCAAGACAAATATAAACTTTATGATAAAAGACAAACTGAATGTACTTGCATCGCTACCTAAATTCTTTAAAGTTTTTTTTCCCCAGATAGATATCCAGAGACAACAAAATTACGAAAATAAACAACTAAAAATATACATGCTAACGCAAACACACAGGAGAAAAAGTCTGGGTAGCAGAAAAAGGGGAGACAGAGAGCACGAAATTCAAATCTGAGGCCAAAGAAAGCCTGAGAAGCTGGCATCCTGCCACCGCATAGTTTCCAGGAGTCCATCAACACTCACCCTGCAATGAACAGGAGGCACATGAAAATGTCCAGCAGCTGTAAACACTGAGTTCACCACAACCTCACTATCCCTACTAGGGTTGTAAGCATAAAGAATCTCTGCTGCAGGATGTCCCAGGAGCCTAGGAGAAAGGGAAAAAGTAACATATTTGTGGTTATTAATATCGCACGAACATGCACATGCACACACTTTTATTTTTAAATTTTTGGCATTTGGGATTGAACCCAGAGCCTCACACAAGTTCTACCACTGAGCTACATCCCTAGCTCATTTGTAAATCCAGAAATCTACTGATGCTTGTTAAAAAAGTAAAAAAACTTATCAAGTCCTATTAGTAATTTAACCTACAATAGTAAAAGCAACCAGTTTCTTTTATATGATTTATGCTGCCAACCCACAGTAACATTCCACTGGTTTCTATGTTGAAAGAATTCAAGCCATGTAGACCATTAAATAGTTGTGTAAAAAAAACATTTTGGCACACACTGGCATTCTCTCTCTAGGGTCACTCATTCAAATGAAAATGTTTAGATAAGAAACTGTATTCATAGAAAAACTATTTTCCTAGAGCTTATTTTCTACGCAATAAATTTTAGAGAGACATTTGTAAGTGTTGCAGTTTCACCTTATAAAGAGACTTGACTAAGTTTTTTACAAAAGAAAAAATTCATTGTTGCCTTCTGCCTTTCTTGAGAAAAATGGAAGCCAGGCAGCACTGTATAGCAGCAGTTCTTACCCACTGCAATCATAAGCCTTTCAGAAAACCCTACTAGGAGGGCGTGGCTTCTTCCTCCACAAACACGCCTATACAAAAAGATCTGCCATGACTTTAAAACCTTCCACGACCTCCCAGGAGCAACCTCCTCTGAAGAGCCAACACATGCAGCGAACAGGACCTGGAGGCCAACGTTTAACAGCAGCACACTCTACTCCACGACCAGGCGTCACAGGGGCTGCAAGAGGACAGGAGCTGGGCGCCTATCTGCCTACCCCAGCCTTAAACATGCACTACAGGCTCTTACCTCCGATTCCACTGGCCAACACCACCTTCACTCTGGCTCAATTACGTTCTAACACAAGAGCCAGCCAAAATCTTACTTCAGTCACTCCTCTAGTTTTAATGCTCTCCAAGGCAAAGGCCCAAGTCCATGCCTCTCATTAGCAGGGGCCAGAAATACCACAATGTAAGCAAACTTTATGGTCATTATGCTGCTTCTCTGGTTTTACTTCAGTTTCTCTAATATCAAAAATGTACACTTCAGGAGAAATTTATTCACGCTGTTTCTCTCATATGCAATGGAATTTCCAAAATAGTTTACTACCATCAAATCCTTCTAATTTTTCTTCTAGCTTTTACTCTTATTTTTGAGTACTAGTATTAATGCAAGTTTTAATATTTACATACTGTGCATTTATTTAAAAATATTTAAGTTATAAATAAAATAACACCTTGATGGGATAAAAACCTTCTTCTTCTATAGTTCTTCAGTAGTATTTTTTCTGAAACCTTATGCTGTCATAGCCATTGTCTCCAGAAGTCCTCCCTCATTATTGGGTTCATCTTTTCCTTCTTCTTGCAAGTAAATATGAACTTCTTTTAGGTTTTAGGTAGATAATATGAACCAATCAGCAAAGCTATTAATACTTATCCTAAAAGCATTAGGTATATTTCACAAAATTAAAATATAAGATTTCTAGATTCAAAGAACACTAATGTCTACCGTAAACAAAATAAGGCCACAAGGCAGCAGTGCCACAGAGCTCAGCTACTGCACGCACCAGTATCTCACTAGAGAACCCTGGCTGAAGCCGAGCTACCACTGTGCTATTTTTAATCCTACTTTTTTAAGTTCTATTTTTAAAAACGTTACAAGGATATGAATTTCCTTCACTAGTGACAACTGGAAGATATGCTATTAACTTAATACTACAAAAGAATGACTAAAATCTTTTATGAATGATTAGCACTTTTACTCTTGGACCAGCAGAAATATTAACCCTTAAAATAAGCACCATGAAGCAGGCAGAAGGAAAAATGAGTAACATGACCTCGATTCTGTGTCCTAGAGGGAAACTAAAGCTCTGAAAAGGGATGGGGTTTGCTCAAGGTGAACACTAAAGTAAACAGAAGCCAAATAAGGAAAGCAAAGAAATCAGGGGAACCCTACCGGGTACAACTTTTATTCTGATGACTATAAATTATGTCATGTGATATAACATAAAACCTGACTAATTTTAAATGTTTGAGTTTAAAGTTTGTTCTTACTGAGGTTGTCCCACAACAAAGCCTACACCTCACTAATAAGAAAAAATAGTACAGTACTGGCTTAGAAATCAGATTTATTCCTGTACTTCTAATGAAATGACCTTGGGCAAATCGTATTACTTCTTAGTAACAAGGTTACAAACACATTTGTGGCACATGTTCAAATGGAGGTATCTGAAAATAAAACACCTAGTCTCAGTCTCTCTCAGTCTCTCTCTCTCTCTCTCTCTCTCTCTCTGAAACAATGCCATCCAGGATTAACGTAAGACTTGAACTGCAAGAGGCAATTAAACTTCATACTATATAAACAAAAGTGAAGGAGATCAAATCTAAGACTCTAAACATTATCTCAACAACCTTGTAGTTATCAGAACTCATAAATAATATATATGGCCAAAACACATATTGCTATTATGTACATACATTCATGCAAATGGTTCTAGAATTCTTATGTTACTGAAGACTTAAATTATATATACCCAGCCAAAATCCTATGAAATGGAATTGTTCTAACCTACCAGCACTTACCACCACCTCTTCTACTATATCTACCAATCTATAATATTCATGTTCCCTTTAAAACATACTTTTATAAGATTTTGCATAAAAACTAAGTACTCTCTCAGAATCTGAAGTCAGTAAGCGTAAATTCAGTTTATAGTGACTATCTAAAGGCCTACACGGTGGGAGAGCTTCCGTCTACCCTGAGCCAATGGGAGCGGTCCAGTCCAAGCCCAGGCACAGTGTGGGTGAGACCTTCTTCCACCCCCTTGGGACCCCACCACCACTGTGCAATCGCCCCTACTCCCACCCACTGAGTGAGAACTTTTGCCGCATTCTCAGTCCCCAGATCCAGCCCTAGCCCAGGCCTGGGGAGTTTGTGGTAGAGCTTCCTCTCCCCCCTACTCCACCTTGTCCCCTTCAGACTCAGCTCAGGCCTGGCATACAGGCCTGAGGTGAAACTCTGCAGCTGCAGTCCCTGCAGAGACAGTAGGAGACAGAACCATCCAGCTAGTCCAGGAGCAAAACCTCTTGCCAGAGGGGCACAACAGATTCACTCCCAAGGTCGGCAGCAGGAAGGAGCTGAGCAGAGCAGCCAGACCCAAGCCAGGCACAGCTGGATAGATCCAAACTTTGTAGATCTGCACCTGAACTTCAGTAGGTGCTAAGCTTATAACTGCAGCAAAGCTCTACAACAAACGTCAGAAGACAGTGCTATCCCAAATGACGAGAAGGAGCAAAATGCAATCTCAGACCCCAAGCCCACCCATAACAAGTGCAGAGGACACTCACACAGAACAAATTGGGAATCACACAGCTGAAATGAATCAACAGCTTCTGAAACAAAGAAACAACTGCAGAAAGGCATAGAGGAACTCAGATTAGAAATGAAAAAAGAAATCCCTGAATTAATATCATCTGCAGTAAAGAATCAAATGCAGAAACATATGGAGCAAACCCAATACCCACCCAGAACAAGCGCAGAAGACACTAGCTCAGCTCAAATGTATGAATTAATGGCATCAAAAATAAATAAGCAACAGCAGAAAGTTATATAGGAACTCACAGTGGAATTATTTTCCGAAATGCAGAAAGAATTCACTGAACTCATAGCATCTGAAGTAAAGAATCAAATACAGAAACATACAGAGGAAACCCAATCTGGAAAAAAAAAAAAAAAAAAAAAAACCAACAACTCTGCAGTAAAAGAATAACTGCCTCTAAAGGAGACATCAAGAGGAGATTAGAAAAATGACGGATTCCTTGAATGAGCAACACAGGAAAGAAATAGATCGCATGAAGCAGAGTCAAGGAGATATAGAGGAAGTTAAAATCTCAATCACAAGCTTGCAAAACTGTTTGAGCGAAAGTGAAGACAGAATTTCAGATCTTGAAAATACTGGTGCAACTAGTGAAAAGGTAAGAAAAGATCTCTTAAAAACAACTAGGATGAAAAAACAAAACAAACAAACAAAAAACAACTATGATGTAGGAAAAAATAATTCATTACCTGCAAGACGATGCAAAGATAAACAATGTGAGACTAATAGGTATCAGTGAGAAAGAAGGAGTCAATACAAATGACATAGGGACCAGGGAGATGGCTCAGTGGAATAAGCGCTTCCGTGGCAAGTGCAAGGGCCTGAGTTCAATCCCCGGTTCCGCAAAAAAGAAAAAA